CCTCCTTCCCCTCCCCCACCTTCAACCCCGAGTGATAATTGATGACTGGGTCTGAACTGAACAAAAGTGGCAAGAAAGTAGGATCTCTTGGTAGTGCTCAAACTTATGATCATGAAAGTCTTTTGCATGGGGCTGCAGACTGAAAGAATTTCTAGATAAACTTTATGAAAGCATGAAAATGCAGAGAAAATGGTTTACCAGGGCTCTTACAAAAAAAACATTTTCAAGCTCTTCAGTAAATAGGAACTTAAAATACCTAAAATGGTCGCTAGAAGTAAAATTTTGGTCGGCGAAAGAAAAAAGAAACTTTCTGCAATATTAGATAGCGTACTATACTGCTGACCATACCGCTCGTCATTGGATTAAGCAGAATGGCCGACATTTCGCGATTTTTGGAAATGCACGCGACATCATGAGGCTCAATAATCGGACAAACACTGAGAAAAAGCCGGGCCTTTGTGGAAGAAAATGACACCGTATGAGTAATACGCTGTGAAAATGTTTATCCCACTTTGACTTCAGACCACAGAAAAAAATTTATGAAAACGTTAAATTAAAACTTCTGATATGATTGCTAAACGCATGTTGCCAAGTTAGGGGCATAAACAGAAAATTTGAACACCAAACGAAGTCGCTTTACCAAATTACTTACAGCTTAAAGCGCTGTTATGAAGCATTGAAAACCTCATAGAAAAAAAAAACTTTGGGATCAGTTATTATTTTTCGCAGTGGGCGGGGGGGGGAAGAGGAAGGAAATGGATTTGGGGGGTCCTTTTCAGGACGAACAGAGGCGAGGCTCAGATGTCATCAACAGAATTTAAGGTGGGCGACTATTGCAAATCGACTGCCAATTAAAAATCTAATCTTGTTTGGGCTGATTTTATGGTGACACAAACAAAATCCTCCAGCCTCCCCACCCCCAGTGATAAATACTGACTGGTCCCTCGGTAAAATCTCCTTGTTTGGAGCTGGGCTCGAGAATAATTTTAATTTGACTGAATAATAAACTTTTGAGTTATACTTGTAAGTCGGTGTCCTCAACGATTCCTATCTTGACAAGCTCCTTCTTTACGCGCTCAAGGTAGGTGGGATCTGGATACCCATGACTGTAGAGGAAATAAAGAAATCATTGAAGTTGAAGGAAACATGTGTCTATGATAAAACTTATATTCACTTGTTTCAAAAAGATCTTTCTCTGCGTAAGTAGCAATAGCGCTATTCATCACTTCATTCACCAATAATCCTATAAAAAATGTTTGTCCTGTGAAATAATTCGAGAAGATGAGGAATAATTAACAACTATTCACCGAAGTGGAGGTGGTTAGTGGTGGATATTTATCGAGCCGCGAAGCGGCAAGGTAAATATTCACCACTAACCACCGACACT